ACTGATATGCAGTTTAAAAGGTTTCGAGGTAACAACTATGGAAGAAGCATGTTCGAAAGGAAATATTTTCGTGACGGCTACTGGTAATTGCGATATTATCTTAGGCAGACATTTTGAGCAAATGAAGGACGACTCGATTGTTTGCAAGTAAGTACTAAAGGATACTAAATACTTCTACAATTTGGTATATGCTTTTCACTAACAATGAGTCATTTGAAATTTGAGCATTGGGCATTTTGATATTGAAATTGATGTCGCTTGGCTCAAGCAAAACGCTATTGCTCATGTGAATATTAAGCCCCAAGTCGATCGTTATACTCTGAAAAGTGGTCGACGTATCATCCTTCTTGCCGAAGGAAGATTGGTTAATCTTGGTTGTGCAACTGGGCATCCAAGTTTTGTAATGAGTAATTCATTCACAAATCAAGCACTCGCTCAAATTGCTCTTTGGACAGACGCTTCATCCTATCCGCTTGGTGTTCACATGCTACCTAAGAAACTCGATGAAGAAGTTGCAGCAGCACATCTCGAAAAGCTGGGTGTAAAACTTACTAAGCTTACTCCAAATCAATCTGAGTATTTGGGCATTAATCAAGATGGTCCATTTAAATCAGAGCATTATCGGTATGAAAATGTTTATTTTTATTAATTTACTTTTATAAAATACCTGCTTGCAATTAATAACAATTATTCAAATCTGCAGCTACTAAAAAATAGTAGAATGCACATAGCCTCTTGCAAAATAATTTATAATAAAGAATTTATTAATTAAAAATTTTCTCTATATCATGCTGTTCGAAGTGAATTATAATGATAACCCAATCCATACATGTGGCGATGAAATCTTTAAAGTTTAACATTAAGGAGTTAACTTATAATAATGATCGTTTTACTGAATATCTAAAGTAAAAGTTATTAAAAGGATACGATAAGAAAATTGGATCCTTGTCGAGAAATATATCAGCAGACATTTTTAAAATCGGTGAACTCATTTGTACAATATGTATAGGGACTTTGTAAACTCTAGAGATTGCAATTATCTATATCGGAATGTATATATTTTTAGTTAAGAATCTCGACGATAAACGAATACTGTTCAATCTACGTACCTCTGGTTCCCCACCCCATACTGCAGTTTTCTCCAATTCATCACAATATTTGTGAAATTGTTCTGAAATTATACGCAGTTAGAAATTGATATTCGTTAGTTTATTTAACAGAAAGGTCAATTGATAATCTCAATTATGTGCAAACACGATCTCTACCTAAACTATATATTTCCCCGTCTTCCGTGTTGGATAAAAACGGCAGAAAATCATCAGGATGTTGTCGCATATACATCGCGACTTTATGCCTTACTTCTTTATAATTCACCTAACATTGCAAAAGCAAGAATAAATATATAAATAATTGAGCCTATATGGCTAATTATAAATTCATACCAAAATATTGTGCCTTAGTTGTAGCTGATCCGATATGGCATTATAAAGACTAAATGTCAAATACGCAAAAACAAGTGAGGTCACAACATAATTAAGCGAGAATATCATGTTTTTTCGGAAGCTCACCAATGACCATTTGCTGGTATCTAATAAATGATCATTATGAAAGATAAGTATCAACGTATTCTAATGTTAAAGATAAATAAATATCTTATTGTATCACCTCCTCTATAACTAATCCCATAGGTTTAATTAACTCTATAATTGCATTGCGTTCAATCTCTCTCATATTAATCTGGTTCTTAGCTGCTTCTGCGGCCTCATTCTGTTCCTCGGCAAGCTTGGCCGCCTTTCGTTCCTAAATTCAAGAACTCTTGTTTAGAATCGTTCAGAATTTTAATATATAAAAATCTAAATTAAGTAGCTTCCACCTTCCGTAATTTTTGTCTATTTGGTTTTTTTTGTTTATTTGCTAGGGATGTAACAGGTTTTTCTTTTTTTTCTTCTTCAATGCGCATCGCCTCTAACCTTGCGTACAATTGATCAACAATATCTACATCAGCAGTGTTGTCACTGGAATTCTGGAACGCCACTGGAATTCCAGACTCTTCCATCCTTCCAGTGAAAATTCTCACTGGAAGAATTTTACCACTGGAGCGTATATAATATTACCCAATAAAAATGCGCGAATAACAAGCCACATTAACCAATAAAAATGCGCATATTACACATGACTTTAAAATATATTTATAATGTTCTTTTATTTGAATGCTTAGCATTTTCAAGTCTAAAGACCCTTTGGCAATTCAGTAAATCATAGTTTCTATTTATAATCAGAATATAGAGTTTTTTTTAAAATCATATTTATGTTTAACATTCAATTTTAAAAATAACTAATAACTATATATAATTGTCGCGACATACTCATACTTCTACGCTGTTTGATGACCGAAATTACGTTTTTGATAATCTATAATAAAAATATCAAAAACGTAGTTGTTGCATTTTCCGGATATAACGCCGCGTACCTTTATTTGAATAGTTAAATAGATTATGTGTTTAGTAGCCAATCGTATCTGATATGATACTGCAAATTTTTTTTACAGTAACTCATCATAGGAATCATAGGAATCATGATAATTTGTAACAATAGAAATCACAATAATTTCATGTAGACTAACTCAACCTTTAACCACATACTTTGTATAGAGCAACTCACTTTAGGAATCATGATAATTTCAATGTAGCTAACTTAACATTAATGTAAAAAATTATAATAATTTCAATGTAACCTAATTTTTTTTTAACTATATTGTGTACTGCTGGATTAGCAAGTAAGATTTGTAACAAAATTTTTAATGTCTCATAATAGAAATTATAACAATTCTAATGCAAACTAATTTAATTTTTAATATTTACATTGCAATATCAAATAAGTTTAGTATTAGCAACTTTTAATAGAAATTATGATAATTACTAAGAAAATAAAATTTATTTGACACTCTTTTTGACAATTATTTGAACCACAATTTCTAAAAAACTTTTTACTAGAAAAAAATATAGTATACTAGAATAAAGTTGACAACTTTTACATAAGATATGGGAAAAGGAACTGTAAGTTAGCAGCTGTTATTTAGAGGTAGTTCTCATATGCTACCTGCTAACAGCCTTAGAGTTTATCACTCACTAACTGCAAGCGTGGCACTTGTTGTTTAGAAGTACAGTAGTTCTTATACACTACTTGCCAAAAAGTTTAGAGTTTATTATTTACCAAAAAGATTTAGTACTGTGCAGGCTCAGGTGAATAGTTGATTCTAGTAAAAGAAAACCTATGCTCTTTTGGTAGTTTCAAGTGTTTTTTCTTTCTCTTGTATTTTGCCAACTTTACTAAAAATTTCAACAAAAAGTGGGCATTTTAGCTCACCTCTTCAAAAGATTGGCATTGTTTATACTTGTCTAATTTGAACAAACTTAGTAGAATGCAACTATGTATTTGTTTTGTTTATTATTATAGTGCAATGGCATAAGAATGAGATCAATAGCCCTTGTTTAGAAAATACTTGACCCTGGTGACGTGTTTAAAATGAGTCCTAACATTAAAACAAAGCATTATAGCCAAGATATATTAATTAGTTGCAATTAGTATATAATTTTTATCTTTATATCTGGCACAGGTTATAATAGTGTGTTTTTTTTCTTTTTGTTTTTTTTGTTTATTTTTTTTTTAAGGTAGTTTATCAGGACTTCTATGTCTTTTTTTTTTCTCTTTTCATCTTTGTTTTATTATGATAAAACTATTTTTTTTTTTTGTTTTTTTTTATAGATGTAGTATATTTTTTCTTCCTTTATAGAAAAGTAAGAGATAAACTATTCTACTCAAATTTAGGTAGAAAAAGTTTAAAAGGAAAAATAAGTAGTTTTGACAAGCCGGTGAAAACCTTTCAGTAAAGATTTATTCTTTTCAAGTGCAAAAGAGAATATTTTTTAAAAAAATTCTGCCTATAGCAAGTTGCACATGAGTAATTTGGACTCTGGTTACAAAGAGCTGGGTAAGCTAATACTTGTAATTTAGGTGGTATTAGGGTTTATACTCTTCAAAAATTTTAATATTTCACAGTATAATATTATAAAGCCTAATAGAATAAAGACAAGACTGCCAAATTGTGCTACAAATTGTCAAAAATTTTGCAATTAATTAGTTGTCAACTTTTTGATTATTTGATTTTTATTTGATTTTTGTTTGATTTTTATTTATTTTTTCAATCGATTAGTTATCAACTTTTCAATTAGTTGCAATTTAGATTTTCAATTTGTAGCACTAATTAAAACTTTTAGAAATAATGATCTACAGTAACTCTCTCCTGTACACATAAGGCAGGAAGAGTAAAATATTAAACGGACAAAATATCCAATATATCTAGGAGTAAAAACCCAAACAGTTCATCAATAACAAGGGCTAAAGCCCTTGTTCCAGAAAAGAGAAAGGCCAAAAAAGCTTTACTTCAAGAACAACCAAATAAAAAATACAAAATTATAGATTCTCTCAACAAAGAAGTCATGATTAAAGACCTTCCTGGTCTTCAACACACAGAATCTGAACCAAACTCAAGCATTTTGCTTACAAACACCACTAAAGATACAAAGAAACATGGGTTGACTAATAGCAAAGAAAGTTGGGATAATATTGTATCTCAAGATAACTCTTGGCTAAATTTGAACACGTCTTTACAAAAAACGGAATTGGGTAAACAAAACAACAAAGTGACACACGTGTCTGAAAAGGCTTCAGAAAGTTCCATATTATCAAGTTATGTGAAAACATCACCTAAAAGTCCTGAACCTCCTGTGAACCCATACATACATGTTCTAACTAACGAACTAAAACAAAAAGCTACTCGGGATAAAGCCCCACTTAAACAGTAGTCTAATCTCTTTTCAAAGCTAAAAAGAGACCAATCTACTTTTTCAACATTCTCTCCAAGAGAACAAATTAAATCCAAAAACAATAACGCCCTGATTATCGATATTTCAAGAATTCATTGTTCTTTTAATAAAATAATGTTCTCACTTTTTGAAAATGTTAAAGACAAAGTTATTGCTGCTAAGCAATATCTTAAAAAAGACACTCGCTCTCATTTAGAAATTATTTTCGCAAATCAGATCCTACTCAAAAAATATACTAGTAATGGGGTGATAATTTTAAATAAAACCTACTATGGCTACATCCCAACAGATGCTTGCAAATTCTTCTTACCGGTCAAAATTAGAAATGTGCTACTAGGTGACAAAAACCAAATCTCTGACCTTATTTAAGAGGCCTTTGAAGATATAGGCAATATCTCCTCTATCAAACCTCTTCTGATTGAAGGCACTTCTTATTTAACAGACCAATAGATCGTCATTTTTGAAAACACAGATGACCCAAACCTAGAGAGTAAAATCCCACGTTTTACCCAAGTTAGTAACAATAAGATCACTACAGAATGGAAATCAGCTCCAAAAATTTGCTTCTTCTGTGATCAAGAGGGTCATATCAAGAGGGAATATAAACAACTTCAAGAATCACTCTGACTTCGAGATCATTATCATAAATTTAGAGAAGAAGTTAGAAAAACAAGAGAGGAGAGATCAATAAGCAGCCCACCACAAAAGACCTCTGTATTACCTTTGCAGAAAGAACCAACAATAACTGAAATACAAGAAGAACTTCCAAAAGAAAACATTCCTGTTTCAAACTTGGAAGAAAATCCCAAGGAGAATGCTAAAGATTTAGCTAATCTTGATATAATAATGATGTATACAGAAGAGGTAATCAAGAAGAATGATGAAAATAATAACAAGCTAGAATCTCTTCACATTCAAGAAGAGGTAGAAAATCAACTTTTGCTCAATAAAGCTCCAAGAGATAAGCTAACAATAGAGGATCTAGCATGAATCTCCGCTTTACAAAAGTCTGATACAAGTGAGAAAGAAAATACTCTGCCTAATATAGACGATAAAGACTTTATCACAGTATCTAATAAGAAGAAAAATAATAGAAAAATCACTAAAAGCAGGTCGAATCAGAATATTATAGGATCTACCCTTTACCAAAAGGGCAAAGGTGAGCACAGAGCCACCTCACAATAAACAAATCTTATCTTTATTCTATGACAGAAAGCCAAAAATTTTTATAGCTACACTAAACGTAAAAGGGCTAAATGACTGTGAAAAACAACAAAAGACTTTAACATTAATCAAATCATATAAGCTGGATATAATTGTAATTCAAGAAACAAATCTTAGTAACTAAAATATCTGCAACCTACTAAAACTACAATGGCCGTTTGAATCAATTTGGACTGACAAAACTGCAATACTGGCTGGCAGAAGAGATTTAAAACTTCAGAACCCACAAACCTTCCATAAAGGAAGAGTTATTATAGTTGACATCTCATATAAAAAGTATCTCTTCAAGATCACAAATGTTTATGCTCCACCGAACATTAAAGACAGGACAGCCTTTTTTGAAAATTGGATTCCTTTTTTTGACGAAAACAAGATAAACATTATTGCAGAAGATTTTAATACAAATTTAGACCCAACTACAAACAGAATAAGCCAAGCCAATACACAAAATGACTCTTCAAAGATACAACTTAAAAGACTATTAAACAACTTCCTGGACTCTATATCTCTTTTAGAGAAAAAACCTTTTTTTACATTCTACCAGAATACAAGAAACAACCAGTCTATAGCTACATGTCTAGACTATATTTTTATAGATGAGAACTATGATTTTTTAATCAAGAAAACTGAAACTCTCTATAGAAACTCAGATCACCTGCTAGTCAAATATACTCTCATCCTAGAAAATAAAGCAAAAAAGGCATCTAGTTGGAGATTTGATAAAGACTTTTTCAGAAACAAACTATTGGAAAAAAAAGTCATCGAAGAAATTAAATCTGTCAACTTGGCATCAGACTGGGACTGGCACAAAGTTTGCATTCAATCAATTATAAGAGTCTTCAAAAAACCCAAAGCTCCAAAAAGTAAGATAATGACTCTGAATAAAAAAATAACTAAATTTAAAAACTCTTTAGCAGCAAACCCTGAACAAACAACTATACAATCAAGAATAAACGATCTTAACATACAGACACAGGAGGAGCTCTCCCAACTAGCAGAGAGATAGCTAATTCGCTCAAAAGCCAATTGGGTTGAACAAGGAGAAAAATCTACCAGATACTTTTTCTTACATTTCAAAACCCGAAGTAGTAACTTTGCTTTGAAAGAAATTGAGATCCTGGGAGCTAATATACAAAATAAAGAAGATCAAACACTACAATACATAAAAGAAAAATATACTAAAATCTACAAAAATGAGGGTATAGACTCAAAAGTAGCCACTTTGATCATGAAAACACTTTCTACGATCTCACAACAAGAAAACTCTGAACTTACACAAGCTATTTCAAAAGAGGAAATAACATCCACGATCAGAAATCTTCCAAACAATAAATCTCCAGACATTGATAGGTTAATATATAAATTCTACAAATTAACAGAAGAACATATAACTCCAATTCTAGAAATCATCTTTAACCAGGTCTTGAACTCTGGACAAAATCTAATCACTCTCATTTCGAAGAAATCTTTAGACTTAAGCAATATAAACAACTGGAGACCTATTTATCTAGTAAACTGTGATGCCAAAATCTTTATAAAGATTATTGCATCTAGATTAAATAGAGTCTGCAATACATTAATTCCATCACATCAACAAAGTTTCATCATGAAAAGATCAATCTCAAATGCCGCACTTGACATTCTTACAACTATAAGAAACCAATTTGATATTTCAAAGCAACACTAGCTACTTTTAGTGGACCAACAAAAAGCTTTTGACCAAGTTAATCACAAATTCTTGCAAATGGTTCTTTCAAAAATGGGCTTTTGTATAAAATTCACAAAACCTCTTCACAAATCAGATAGCTCATATCTTTAAGAAGGGCTCTCTCTCAGAACCATTTAGAGTTAAAAGAGAAGTTTAACAAGGAGACTTTCTTTCTCTTTTATTATATGTCTTGGCTTTTGAACCACTAATTCAATCGATAAATAACAGGATCCGGAAAATTCTAGTAAACAACCTCTTCTTTAAAATAGTGGCCTATACTAACGACCTAATTATAGAAATTGGCTCTCTTTCAGACTGAATAGAAGTTCAGATTTTATTTGACATATATGAAAAAGCCTCAAATGCAAAAGTTAATAAACACAAAACCAAAGTGGTCTTTTTAACTACACTGGCTAGAAGAACGAATCTACCGAACATTGACCAATTTGAAATTACGGAAGAAAATAACTCTATAATACTTCTAGGTTACGAGGTTTATTCAAACGGCCTATGTAGAAAGAATTTATAGACAGACATGATTAACGAACTCAAAGATACATTAAACAATCTAGCTCTTAGAAATCTATCCTTTAAAGAGAAAATTTTGGTTGCAAACTCTCTAGTTCTTTTCTCGAATCTGGTACATAGTCTACATTTTATCTCCAAACAAAAAACAAATTGCAAAAATAAATGGTTTAATTACACTTTGGATAAAAGGCAACTCAAGAATGCTTCCCAAATACTCTACTTACCAACAGTCTTATGAACAAGGAGGGCTGCAAGCCTATATTATAGACAATTTGCTAGATGCAAGAGCTTTGATGGTCTGGCTCAAACTTCTTTCTGGAAATACATTCTGGGCAAAGGTTAAACGGACAAGAATTGCAGACATATTATATAGACAACGAAATATCTCAATTAGACAAGCATTAACTAGCTCTCCAATACATAGTAAAGCCTGGCCTGCAGAATGAAAACCCTACTTTTTTGCATGGAAGAAGGCAAATGGAAAAGTTTTTCTTATACAAATTAGCCTTGGAGTCTTGAAAACCTCTCTTTAGAGGGAATTAAAGGAGATGAAGTTATAGTTAAAGAATAACCGAACTACTTAGAGGGGACCTAACATCTGGTAAAATTAATTAGTTACTGTTTTCAAACTCAGCACCAAACTAGATTCTTCTCAAAGAAGTTGATAACAAGAAAAGAGATATCTTTTGGCATCTCACACATAGAGCATTATCACTAGGTTATAGACTTTAACATATCTCTGCTCAGGAATCAGGCTCCTGCCCATAGTGTAAAAATGATCGACAAACGATTGAACACTTTGCAACAGATTGCAAAATTAGCAAGAAGATATGGACAGAAGCCTACAAATTGATTAATATAAGACGAAAACCAAGTATCCTATCCTCTTTGAAGAAAATCTTTATTGTAAAAAACATCGGTGAATAAAACCACCTTAATACAGCAATATGGATTTACATAATCACAATATATGAAATTTGGTGTTGATATACAAATGCCAAATGGGGCAATACAGATAATTTAGAAGTATCAATTCCCTCAATCATTAGTGCTCGGATTTGAAAAGAAATTTGAGCTTTAAGTTTAAACTCCCATTTGGGATCTATAAATAGAAAAATTTATAAATATCTTTTTTTTTTTGAGTTAAGGAGACCTCTTTAGCCTGAAAGCTTTTATTAGGATTTGAAACGGTGTTTTATACGCAATTACAACGATGGTACATCAAGCCACACGTGCACCTTTTGAGTGCCTAATTTAAGTAGTCCACCCGAAGGTTCTACACTATCTGCCATACCTGCACCCCAACTAGGGGAGTGCCCATTTAAAAAGTTATTAAAGTTTAAAGTTTAAAAATTATACAAAAAATATATAATTTATTATATAATTTATATATAGTTTACTTTAACTAAAATATAGTAAAACTAAATCTAAAAATTACTATTCATTAAATTTTTTATTTTATATATAAAATAGACAAATAAATTATATTAAACTCTTTTCTATAACCTAAAAAAAAATTTAAATTAAAAAAATTCAAATTATATTAATAAAAAAATTTTTTATTAATTTTAATTTGAGGTATCTATCTTTTCGCACCGGACTATAATAGACAAAATCTTATATTAGATTCATTACAAATGCTAAATATTATGTATTTCAATAAAATTAGATAGAATTTTGATATCACAATAAAAAACATTTTTTAATGTTACTCAAACAATCTTTACGTAATGATATCGAAAGTTTATAGGGTCCTTGTGTTAGGTTAGATGATAGTAGGGATGGTAAAAAAATGTTTAAACAGTTTTTATACATTTTTTATTGTTTTAAAAAATGTTTTAAAACATCGATGGCTGGAATTTAAACTACCGCCTTTGGTCGGTTAATTCAGTTTCAGAAAAAGATTTCTCTTTATATAATTGATTTAATTTTAAATTTTTTTATCGAATAAATGTACCCTTTTATAATTATAATTATAAAAAGAAATTATGAAAGAGTTATAAAAATACATTTTGAACGACTTAATTTTTTTTATTTTTTTATCAATATGCACTCTGAATTCAATACGTACATACTATATTTATTGATATTGAAAGTCAAAACCTACAATATGTATTGCAAATATTACTTAATGACATTGTAAAACCAGAATTGTGAAGGTTCAGAAGCTTTTTACATTTAGTTAAATGTTCTTTTAATCAGCCAATTAAATCAACGGAGTCTTCACTCAGTAATTACACTTATGACGTGGTGTTGTTCGACCATGTTTGTCACTTTCTGTAATTTTTGTGAAATTCAACCGAATTTATTTCAATGGAGGTCTTCCACGAGACATAGTTATTCCAGGTTTTTTTTTCTTTTTTGATATTAGTAATCGTAAGAAATATTATTTATAATAAAATCGAATTGCGTAATTTTATTTACTAATTGGGGTCTTTGCCTTGAAAATGACCTTACAGCATCATGTACCGTAAGGAACAGGAGAAACCGTCCAAATATAGATATGATTTTCATTCTCCGTCACACAGAT